TATGTTGCCTAACAATATGGCGGCTAAGTGGAATAGACAAAATATGTCATAGGAAAAGGGTCTTAGTCTATGGTCTAGAATAAATTTATTTTAATTAATATAAAATTTTGTTTAATTCATACTTAACTGAAACAGATTTAATGATACTTTTTTCAGAATGTTAAAGTAAAATTGTAATTATTTTATACATAATATTAAAGTGAAGACATTCATTTATTGTAAGGATAATATATTTTTTTATTTCAGGATTAAAGCTTTTGTTTTTATAGATAATACTGTTTTATTCTCGTTTGTCTTTCCGTCTGTCCCTGGCTCAATAACAAATTTTGGGTCTCAAGTTTCTCAGCAACTACTCACATTGCAGATGGTTGAAATTTAAGCACATTCTTTTCTAAGGCATGGGATTTACAATTTGTTCAAATCTAATGTCATCTTCTTGAAATCCGTGTGTCTGTCCCTACCATACATAATTTATTTTCGTCACAGTTTTCACAGCAACTACTCATAGCAGATGCTAAAAATTTTATCGCATTCTCTGCTCAGGCATGTCATATGGTGGGTTTTTTTTTTGTTCTAAGATGATGTAAACTTCCTTTTTATCTGTGCATCTGCCCGTAACTGAACTTGTGTATATTAACATGACAGTGTATATTCAGATCAGAGCGGAGTTATTACTAGTGAGCATTGGTTCTCAAACTTAGTGTTAAATATGAAGCTTAAAATAACTGTTATTAAAGTAGGTCTATACTCGCACTACGTCATATACGAATAGTAAAACCGGAACCGCGCTTCCTTTTTCCGAGATGAGATTTTTTAACTATATTGGTCTGACTTTTACTTAGCGTTTTAAATATCCGGTAACGATTTTGCTCGAAGTCGGTCGCGTCAACAAACACATATTCTACAGTTTAAGGATAAATTAATTAAAAAGAGAAGGCTGGGAACAACTTTCGGTTGACAGAAATAATTAGATAATAAAACGATATTTCTGTGAATGATGCATGTGTTACATGCCGCGCCGAAAACACGGACCATATACATGCTACATCAGAACATGTATCAAACTATTGAGGCGACTATTGTCGGCGGCCAAGTTGAAGCTAGGCCTAATAGTGATAATTCGGAAGAAAAGTAATGACTACGATTTGACTTAGACAATTTATGGATTTTACTAATCAAACATTATTTACAAAATTTACTTTGAATAATTATTATTGCATAAAACGCATACCCCCCTCCCCCAACCTGCTTACCCACGAATCCCAATGCAAACTTATCTTTTGAATAAGTATTTGACAAAAGTTGATTCACTTGCAGCACACTTCGTTACTTTCTGTAGCAAAATCATCCAGTTTCTGAGAATCAGTGTCATTTTCATCGTCTCCAATTTAAAGACAAATGTGTTTTATTTTTTTTTAGTAAAATAAGATAAATTTTAGGGACAATAGGTTTTGGGTGTGTATAATTATTGTTTTAAATTATGTACAGCCTTGTTAATACAAGTATACACTCAAACATTAACAGTATTACAGAAATATGTGGCAATATATTACTTCTGGAAGAAAGAAAATAGGGGGGTCCCTTTAGTGTGGAGCTCATACCACGAAAAGTAATGTGTCAACATATAATTTTTTTAAGCTTATTATTTTTCTTAAATATAATTTAGTAAAAATAATGCAAATTTACGAAGTTTGAGTCCATAATTTTTTTTAAAATGACTGAGATTGTCCTGTGAAGCATATTTTCTCACATTTAATATTGATACAATAGCCTAACAAAGTGCATCTATCTATAATATTTCATGCAAAACAATGATATTGTATTGTTTACTAACATGTTTCTACTCTATTTTGGGTATTAAAGTTGAATATTTAGACTTAAATTAATTTATATACAACAAAATCTAGGATAGGTAAAATTTCAGTATTTAACATTTCGGGGTATATACTCCGATAGGCTATAGCGGAAAAGTGAACATGTTGACATATAATTTTTCTTGTGTCTATCCATTGCTGGGATGTATGTCTATCTTATAAAAGCAGATTTTTAAAGATTGAGCCCATTTAGTGCCGATTATAGAACTACCTTAAATGTTCTTTGTAATCACTTGTACATTACTGTAAGTTATTATAATTTGATTCTGGTTGTAACGCTGTATTTGATTGGATAAAAATTTACCTCATATCGTATACAATGGGTTGCCTACGTCACAATGACTTGCGTCAAAAACGTATCAATCCGCCTGACATTACATTCAAATTTTGTACAAATTAAAGTCATTTTGTTAGAACAATCATCTTTTTTTTCTTACATCAAATGAATGAAAATTAAATTATAAGCAATGAATTTAATAGCTACCCATTTTATACGGTATAAACAGGGTTGGAACAGTTTACGCTTTTTTATAAACCGCTTCGTGGTTTAAAAAGAGTAAACTGCCCCAACCAAGTTTATACTGTATAAAATGGGTAGCTATTAAATTCATTGCTTAAATATGAACCTTGTATTCACTAGTTAGTTATTATACGAGGGTTGTTCGAAAAGTTCGTGGACGATGTCAATCTTCGTTACATTAGTCACAAGAAATTTTACATAAGCACAATATGTTATGTAAAAATATTTGTTTTGTTGATGTGTGAAGTTTCATTCTATTCGATTTCGCAGAAATCCATTTACTTCATTTTAAAATCAATATGTTTTGTACCCGCGGAGCACACTTAACGGCAATGTAACGTCAAAACATAGCGTCAAGAATTTCTAAAAATAAATACTACCCCTTTACATTTCACACAGTATAATCCAATGCCCACTCATTAAATACTTTTTCTAATACTTTACATTTATCATTTAACAATTGCCCTCGTTGTATAATTTACTTTGTAAAAATTTTAATTTCTTTTATTACTTAACTCTGCTTTCACAGGATAAGCAATCTGAAGCGCCTATGTCTTTTTTTGACGCTCCAACTGTTTAGAATTTTGGTAAGATTTTTACAGTTATAAACCGTTTCTTCACAGATTGTTCTCATCCGATACAGAGTCTCTGTCACTCAAATACTGCCTGTACTATTTATACACACAAGCACAACTCACTTGTGACATATTTTCTTGATTCCTCCAACATCTTTTGGGTTTATTCAGGATTTTTCCTGAGAAAAACAAAAAATTGCATCTTTATCTGCTGCTCCGTAACGTTATAAAATGTCATCGTTTTTGTCGTTTTCAATAAGGACTCCCTATCTTCTCAACTTGATTTCTTTTCAACAAAGCAAAATATAAAGTCATAATTTGGTATACGAATCGATATAACAATTATTAATTTGAATTTCTAGATTGTTTTTGTTTTTGCTCTATTCTACAGAGAATATGACTAAAGAAATTATTTAGTGTATTGTATGTAACTTACTAAATTTTGACATGCTCCGCGACCTGATTTTTCCATTTTTAAAATCTGGATAAATTTTGAATTAATCGTAATATTTTGAAAAAAAATAATACAAATCATTTTGATTTATTGTTAAAATATTTCTACCAAATTTGGATAACATATAACGTCAAATAAAAAAGATATGACAGTTGTCCACGAACTTTTCGAACAACCCTCGTATAATCCATTTTATTACTGGTAAATTATTATATTTTCCATGTTATCCATATTATATAATCCTTGTTATCACTGTTAACTTATTAAATAATCTTTGTTTTCATTGTTAAATTATTATATAATCCTTGTAATCACTGTTAAGCTTTTTTATAATACTTGTAAACAGTTATAACTGGTAGGTTGTTATGTAATCCTTGTCAACACTGGTAAGTAATTTTAAAAATCCTTGTTATCATTGTTAAGTTATTTTATAATACTTGTTTTCACTGGTACGTTTTTTTATTTAACAGGTGTTACAGGTATTAAAATTATATCTTCCCAAAGATGTCTATCTATTGAATGTAAATTAAGATTGACATCAGTTTTCAAGGATAGAAATACCTTAAATTTTGTTAATGGTCTTCTTCCATTCATTTTAACCTTCAAGAGCCCCTTTATATTATTCTAATATTAAAATAACTTTTTACAATCTCACTTTCCGATCTATTATTTTTTGTTTAGATTATTTTTAATTGATTCTTAAAAGAACTATATGCGGTATATTGCATATGTTTGCCCCCACAAAAGTCAAATTTTGAAAACTTCCTGAAATGTGCTGAATTCAATAAATTGTACGAGATATATAAGTTAACAGAAAATATTATAGTTCCAGAGCAGTGTATTCACGATTTCTGTTTTTATGACGTCACAAACTAGTCCGATTTTATATCCTTTTTCAGAAAGAGGACAAAATGGACAAAATTTCAACAATTTAAGCTTTAAAATTTATAGAGCGCATGTGTGTTCAGGAACAATATTGACATATTTCATTGATATTATCATTCTACACATTATATCAAAATATTTATCCTGAACACACATGCGCTCGGTGACTTTTATTTAAAATATCGACGAAATATGTACATTTTTCTGCAAAATTTATAAAAAACTGAAATTTACGTCATATTTGTGACGTCATTACGTATATATGACGTCATTACTTATGAAATTATTCAGTGCTTTGAAGTCAGCATATACTCCCCTGTTTAAGGACTTAATTAAATATTATTCCATCAAAGTTTGATTTTGGGGGGCAAATGTTGGTTAATACCGCATATAGTTCTTTCGTTGAATTTATACTTAACTGATACAACTTTAATGATAGTTTCTTGAGAATAATAAGGTTAGTTTGTAATTGTTTTATACGTATTAAAAGGCAACACTTTGTTAATCATTCAAGTGAGGATAGAATAGTTTTGATTCCAGGATTTAGGTTGTTGCTCTTATAAATCTATTTTGAACAGAGATTTCACTGATATTTCGCCTAATTCATGTATAATATAAATTTTAACTACACAAACATTTTCATATTTATAGCATCCAATACCTCTAGGCGGTCACCAAGAAGCGTTACTAATATGAGTAGTGACAGCTCCATAAATCACTCCACTGGTAAGTTATAATAATCCTTGTTATCGCTGTTAAGTTATCATATAATCCTAGTAATCACTAGTTATATAATCCTTATAATCACTATTTAGTTATTATATCATCTGTGTAATAACTTTAAAGTTATCATATAATCCATGTCGTCACTGTTAAGTTATTATATACTCCTTGTAATCACTGGTAAGTTATGATTTAATCCTGGTAATTTCTGGTAAGTTTTTATATAATCTTTGAAATCACTGTTAAGTTAATATATAGTCCTTGTTATCACTGGTAAGTTTTTCTCCCTTTTTTTAACAATGATTTGTATTACAGCTATCAAAATGATTTCTTCCCAAAGATGTTAATCTATTGGATATGAATTGAGATTAATACTAGTTTTTTTGCGAAAAAAAAATAACATCACAGAAGGAAGAAAATACCTTATATCTTAAATGTTTTATATTCTGATATTAAGAGAATTTTTTACTTATTCATTTATTCAATTTCATTTTTTTGTCTTAAAAGTCATTTAATTAGAAATTATGCAGCCATTTAATGAAGAATATCAATTTTTATATGAATATATAAGAATGAAATAAAATTATCAAATTTGTACTAGTAATTTTTTTGCCATACAGCATTTTCCAATTAATACTCTAGAATAAATTTTTTTAAATTGATTTAATATTGGATAAATTTATACTTAACTAAAACAATTTCAATTATATATTCTTGAAAATAATAAAGTTACATTGTAATTGTAATTGATTTATACTTATTATAATGCAAACATTTATACGTCATTCAAGTAAGGATAAAAAGAAAAGTTCTCATTTGAAATTTTAGGATGTTGCTTTTATAAATTTATTTCGAATAGTGAATTGACTTATATATCGCCTCATTCATGTTTAATATAAATTTTAACTACACAAACATTTTCATATTTATAGCATCCAACACCTCCAGACCGTCACCAAGAAGCGTTACTAATATGAGTAGTGACAGCTCCATAAATTACTCCACTGGTGAGTTATAATAATTCTTGTAATCCTGTTAAGTTATTATTTTAACCTTGTTATCACTGTTAAGCTATTATATAATCCTAGTAATAACTGTTAAGTTATTATATGATCCTTGTAATCACTAGTTATATAATCCTTGTCATAACTAATTAGTTATTATATAATCTGTGTAATAACTTTAAAATTATCATATAATCCATGTTATCACTGTTAAATTATTACATACTCCTTGTAATCACTGGTAAGTTATGATATAATCCTTGTAATCACTGATACGCTATTATAAAATCCTTGTTATCACTGGCAAGTTTATATATAATCTATGTTATCACTAACAAATATAAATGTTAACTACACAGACATTTTCATATTTACAGGATCCAACAGGTCATCACCAAGAATGGTGACTTGTAAGGGCAGTGTCTGCTCGATAAATGACAGTGGTAAGTTATTATATAATCCTCGTTATCATTGATAAGTCATTATAAAATCCTTGTAATCAATGGTAAGTAATCTTATATCAGATAAGCCTTCTAATTATTTGTAATATATTATCAAATAATAACAAGTTATAATATAACTATATTTATAATTATATTACTTTATGTAATTAATATTATGTAATCATTGTAAATTGTAAAGTTATCATGTAATCCTTTTATTCACTGTAAAGTTATTATATAATCTTTGTTATCATCAGTTACTTATCATATTATCCTCGTAAGGATTGTTAAATTATTATACATATTCACATTTACAGCATCAAAAACCAACAGCCTGTCTTTCAAGCGCAAAAGTGGTGAGTGTAGCGCCTGTTCTATCATATCATCCTTGATATCATTTTAAAGATGTTATATAATATTTGTTATCAATGTTAAGCAATGATATAATCCTTGTTATCGCTGTCAAGACATTATGTAATCATATTTCTTTTGATGTTTTATGCATTTTTATGAACTATTTCTTTTAAAGTTAATAGAGTTAATTTTAGATACTAGTAACTAAAAAAATAAGACACAAAGAAATGTTTATTATTTTAATGTTGCCTAATCCAGAATATTTTGCCAAATTTTTAGAGTCAGCAGAGAGCGACTTAGACATGTTTTGTCCATCATCTTATAATTTTGCCATTCCAGATAAGGATCTCAATGAGAACACCAAGAAAGAAAACAGTGACCCTGCTATAGAGCAGACCCAAGACAACGTCTCTCATTATAACAACCTGGGGGAGTACATCTCACAGAAATATCAACGTCATGAGATCTGTGATATCTGTTTCAAACTGGGCGATACATTATATCCTGCTCACAAATTAGTCTTAGCCTCACAGAGCACTCTGTTTGCTGACGTGTTTGAGCGAGAGTCCTTCTCCAATACACCAGTGGCCCCAAAAGTGATTAAAGTCAGGGGAGTGTCAGAAGAAGCCCTCGTGTCTTTTCTAGATTTCCTATACACTGGAAAGATGGATATAAACTCCGTGTGTTTAAGCGATGTTTTCAAATTAGCTGCGGTCTTTAAAGTGGACCAGATAAAAAGATTATGTGTGAGGAAAGTTGAACAGCTGAAGTGTCAGGACTTGCTTCAACTCTTGCCAACTATGGCAAAACTTAAGGAAAGTGGTATATGCGAGCTGATTATCAGGAAAATTACACATAACTTTCTGGAAGTCAAGGAGGATCCAGAATTTTTTAACCTTGATCTTGACACTCTTTGCATGATATTGGCCTCTGACAACGTCAATGTCAGGTCGGAGTTCGAAATTTTTGCGGCAGCTGTATCATGGATTCAGCACCACGATTTCGATCAGAGAATCCATCACATTGAAAAATTAATGAACTGCGTGAGGTTTACCCTAATGACCAGTCAAGAATTATTCCTCTGTTTCAAAAAATTTCCAGTGCTGAAACAGAACAAGAACTGCGTCAACATGATAACCACGGCTAATTGGTATATTTTTCTTTAATTAATTTTCATCATATCAATTTTAAATCAGTATTAAAAAGGTTTCATAACACATATGAGTTACACAATGTATTAAAAGTTAAATCCATGTGATTTTATAAGAGTTCCTAAATCTTGTTAATTGCATTGAACCTCTTACTGTTACTTTTTTCTTTGGTATCTCATTAACAAGTTATTTTCACTCATATTATAGTATGCATTATGAATATTAATGGTCAATTTTCCAGTTATTATAAGAACACGTACAGTATGATTATTTAAAATCACTACAAAACAGAGCTGTCCCTTACAACAAGAGACAAGGGCTTTTCGTTGCCTTTCATGTTGTAAACCTTCATTCAGTTTGGTTTTTCCCCCTTAAACCCCAGTAAAATGTTGGGGACGGGGGGGGGGGGGGGGGGGGGTGGTAGTCACGACCCACCTTATACTTTTTAATGTCCCCTGTTATCCCAATTTTAAGACACAATCCTTTAAATATTAAAACAATTTCAGCACTGAGAATGTACAAGTTAACACAAAAGTTATTGTTTTACTTAATAAGGGCGAAAACCTCAATGGAGCTCAATGAGGAGGACCCATTAGACGTCCCTGTCAACAAGAGAGACGGGCTCAATACTCAACAAAGTGTCAGTGACTACGTAGAGGTAGGTCATCGGTTATTATTTAAAAAATATCTTCAATTTCTTAATATCTTTTTTCTTAATTCTATAAGTTGACCATATATTTTTATGGCTTTTAAAGATTATTTTCAAGGAATGCAGCTTTTAGCCTAATCATTTATAAAAATATATGCATTAAAATTTTACGTGTGTTTTATGTTTGCATAGTAATATAAATTAAACATTTAAACATTTAGAAAAAAAATTGCTCACATTTATTTATTTGTTTATGGATATTTATATTTTTGGCAATTATACATGTAGAAATTCTTTATGAAAAAAAATAAAAAAAAAATGTAATTTCATTTATACAGACATATGAGGTAAATGTATTATATTTGGCTTGTACAATATTTGGCAGAAATTAATTTTTCAGCAAGTTAGCGATTATTTAATTGAGTGCTATCTGAATGTGCTAGATGTAACATCAAGACACAAGTAGCGATGTACTTGAAAAAACATATTCTGTTTTCTTCCAAATTTCCTAAATAGAATACACCGGTAAATATTATATAGATATAGCCTTTAGTGAGGTCGACCCATAGATATATCGACTTCACAGAAAGGCATATCGACCGAGCACGAAGTGCAAGGTCGATATGCTTTTCTGTGAAGTCGATATATCTATGGATTGACCGAATTAAAGGGCTACATTTGTTATATTATTTTTTTTTACAGAGATTGACAAAATTACCACTTGCTTGTCTTTTTTTAACACTGAGAGACTAGAGATTAAAAAATAATCTGTTTAATGCAATGTGTGTTGTTATTTGTACTGACAGAGTAAATTAAGGAATTTCCTTTTTTAAAAGGCTAACTTGTCTAATTAAGTTTTTTATTGATTTTTGAAAAAAAACATTTGTATTATGTTTTAACATAATGTAGATTCTTCTTAAAGGCATCTTATGTCTTACTAATTATTACAGAACATCACAATTATAAATAAAGAGCTGAAGTATATATATATATATATATATATATATATATATATATATATATATATATATATATATATATATATATATATATATTTTTTTTTTTTTAAGAAATATCAAGTCTATGTGCATTTAAGTCAAGTCTTTATGTTGTTAAATAATTGATCATGTGATCAAGTTTGAGCCAATCGGAGGGTTTGGAATATATATGAAAAATAATATAGTACATTTACATTATCATCATTAAGTATCATGTTAGATTTAGAAGAATTTTCTTCTCTTTTAAATCATTTCACTATAGTGTACTTGCTGTTAGTAAATTAATATCTGTATGTTTATTTTTTGCACATCAATAAATATTTTCCCTTTATTCTATCATAAAAGGCCAAATCCAGCACTAATGAAATCGAGGATGTTGAAGTGAGAATAACCAGAATGTCCCAGGAGATGGCGGAGGACTTTAATAGTCACGCCATTATACAGAGCTTAGGCTCTAAATGTATGCTGCCTGAAAGCCGTCCTAAGATTCAACAATATAGGAATTCTAGATGTAAGCTCTAAGTATATATTTATTTGCACAGTTGCACAGACATTGGATCTGAATTTGAAATTAAGATAAATCATAATTTTTAAACTTTTTAGTAATCAAGGACAACTTTCATATAAACTTGCTATGATGTATTACTTTAGAGAAAAGTCAATATAAAAAAAATTGTGAAAATTAATTGAAAGATGGCTCTCGGTCCAAGGGTAATTTTAAAACAAACTTCTGGATAAGACAACATTACAGATATTGTAATCTATTCAATATTAGGTGGAGCAACAGAACAAGGGAAGGTTTCCGGAAGTGGAAACAACAGGTACGTACTTGTAGACATGCTTACCCTTATTAGGGCTATAAGTTTTTGCATTTGCTTATAGTTCACATGAGCCAAAAGCTCAGTTGAGTTATCCTGATGATCAAAATCTGTTGCAGCTGTTGTCTTTCGTCTTTGAGGTTGGCATCGTCGTTTTTGCCGGCGTTCTCTTTTCACATTTTTATCTTCTTCTCCAGAACCACTGGGCCAATTTAAACTACACTTGAAACAAAGTATCCCTGGGTAAAGGAGATTAAATTTTCTTCGAATAAAGGTCTACGTCCTCTTCCAAGAAAAGATAATTAATATTTATTAAAAAATTAATGGCATTAAAAAAAAAATTCTAAAGAACCTGTGGGTGCTCAAGTTTGTTCAAATCTTGATACCAGGGGGTAGGATGGGACCGCATATTTTTTTTTTTACATAGGAAAGATGTTTCCTGAAGAACAGAAAAGTATAATTGGTCTAATTTTACATGGAAACATCTTCACTTTATACTTATACTGCTTAATTCCCAATACAGGGTAACCCATAGCTCCTTTTTTTAATTTGATATACTAATTATAATGTATTGTTCGTATTGTTCATTTTTTATCCTTCAATTTGCTTTTTCCCGAGATTTTTGGATGAGGTATGTATATGTTCTTTCACAATATCATGTTGAACTAGATGTATTAATTTATTCAAAATTTCTATATTTTTTTTATCTATTCAGAGGTTTTCAATTATTTTTACATAATTTTTTAAAGTTTATTACTTTTTTTATGATATTTATATCAGTAAAATGTCAAATTAATAATGGATTTTGTATGAAAATTCATTTAAACAGAGTTACATGTATAGGATGCAAAAGCTGCAATAATATAACCTTTTTTTTCTTTTCGGAGGAGGGGCGTCAATTAAAAAAAAAATTAGGGATAGCTAACTTATTCTATATTTTATATGATTTATACATTATCTTCTTGAACGATTTTACAAGTTGACATACTGCTGATTCTTTCTAATGTATGACCTTTACCTTGTACTTTGACCTTTGGAGATCAACTAGAGAACACCATAACCATCTGTTCAATTAATCCATTTCATTATTATAAATTAAATATGTTTTAAGCTAAAATAACGTGTAGATTACATGTTATTATACTAACGTGTTCTCACATTTATTCACTCTTTGAATTTCAGCATCTATCACATATTTAAGATTTGGCAATATAATTTTACTTTTTGAATGGCATTTTTAATTAAGTAATAAACATCTCCTTTATATAAAGAAATTAACAGTTGTAGTGTGGAGTGCTTTTTTAAATTCAATATTCCTGTATTCGTGCTATTCTGTTCTAAAATCGAATTCTAATTAACAAATTTATAGTGTCATGGTCTTGCCTGATTTGGTCCTTGGCAGGCACATAGTTAAGGGGCAGGAGTGTTGATCAGAATAACAACTTGTGGGCATAAATTAAATTCAAGTGCTTTTTGTAGTATTTTTTTGTATCAGTTGCTCTAATCATTATTTTTCAGTAACTATTTTCATTTTGTGTTTTATTACAGCTAACAAATTTATTATACATGTATCAACATTTCGTCAAGTCAATGTGTACATATTTATGAATTCAAGTGACATGAAACATAATTTTAAACAAAAAGTGTTGTAAATTGTACATGAAGTCATGAACCCATCAAATGAATTGATTACATTTTTTGCCTACATGTAATTCAAGTTGTCTTTTCAACCCTTTTACATTTTGGTCTCCTTTTTTGTTTGCAGATCACTCAAGAAAAGGGGCAGGAAAATCCCCAAAGACTCCCCGATCTGGCAACTTCAATCGATGCAATTCTAAAGGCTCTCTCAAATGACAATGTGCCGGATATTATGTTTTCTTTTCATGTTTTGTCTAAATTTTTGAATGTCTTTTGTTTTTGGTGTTTTCATGTTTTTTTTTATCTTTGGTTTTTTTAAATTTTTTTTTCTTCGGTGTTTATTTTTTTAAAATCTAAATTCAATGTTTCTGTAATCAGTTTAATACGTTTATTGTAGATATGTATAAATGAATGTCTGGCACTATTAAAATTGTTGCAAGTAATACGAGTTCTAGTTGTTTCTGAATAAATCGAACTCAAGAAATGATGAGTTTAAGGGAGGCTGCTGATATTCTGGCTTCATCGACTTGTTGATAACTTACCTCGTTTAAGAAATTGTAAATGCGCCGCACCGTGGGCGCCCTATACTGATCCGTCTGTCCGTCCGTCCGGAGCATATCTTCTCTCTCCTTGGCCAGATCTGGCTCATACTTTACCTACAGAGGGTCTTGGGTAAACGGTTTGCAGTGACCTTGAACAATTTAGCTACAATGTAGGTTAAGGTTTTGATCATATCAGAATGACATAAATAATCCTTGTCTCACCTCTTGGTCCAATGAGAAGGAAGAATTCTGTGTACTCATGAATGAATAGGTACCAAACGACAATAATCCTCGGGGACACACTGTCCACCAGCAGAGATACATATTCGGTGGTTAAAAGAAGAATGTGACACATTCTTAACTCACAGATAGTCATTAGTCGATGGATACGCAGTAACCTTCAACAAGGGTAAAGGTTAAAAGAAGTCTCACTGTTCAAATTCTTGTCCGGAGCATGTTTTCTCTTTCCTTGGTCCAGTCTGGTTCAAACTTCACACACGGAGTGTGTCTTGGTAAAGATTATGCAGTGATCTTGAACCATTTTTTCCAAGTATAGGTTAAAGTCATATGCAGATTAATATGAATAAAAACCTTGTTTCTTCCCCTGATCCAATGTTAGTCATACGTCACTCAAAGAGTGTGTCACTGGTCAATGTATGAACGAAGTTTCTAGGTCGATGGTCAAGTTACAGAAAAGCCTGTTTAAAATCGTTGTTCGGTTCATATTTTCTTTCACTTAAGTCCAGTCACATTCAAAATTTACCAACTGAGTTAGAGTGCGGAACATTTGTGATTTCTCTAAGATATTTTTAGTAGAGCATATGCAACAGTTTCATACAGAATATGCAGTATTTCTGATATTTTGTCTGTTTTTTGATAGATTTTAAGGGGCACTAGTGATTTTCGTGCCAGTGTTCGTTGCTGAAAGCAGGAACCTTTGAAATGGTTATGATCTCAATGATATCTAGTTCATACGCAGAACAGCTCTTCGTTATCTAATCAACTGAAAGATATAACTTCGTACGCAGGTCACAATATATTATATTGCTGCATAAGTAAGGGAAGTTGACAAATGAAATGTTACAGTCATCACGTTTATCATAAAGCTTTGTTGTTAAATAACCATTAACGTCTCTTTCTAGTAAAAGATCGAATATATGAAACATATGTGTCAGATTTTGAAATATCTTTTAGGTCAAGCTCACCGGGATATATCGTGAGGTAAAAATAGAAATATATATTGTTAATTGACAACACGTCATCGATTATCTTTGTGTCGAGTTGAAGGCCACAGTTATTGTTTCTTTTTACGTAAAAGATTTGAACACATCCTACTTCATATGAATACAAAAATAGGTCTGCTAATAAACGGACACAATTAGTATCCAATTAGTATCCATTGGAATTCCATTGAATCGTTTAGATATTGACAGTCAGAAACTCAAACATCTTTTAAATAGAAACTTCAGAGTACTTGTGTGTACAATTTTTATTTGAGACTTTACTTCTTTTAAAAACATTAAAGAAAAACAATTCACTTCTAGACAAACGAAAAACACGAAGGATAACCGATATATGCGTGTTTATAAATGGCATTTTTGGTGACATTGCAAAGAATAAAAGAAATGGAACACTTTAGTTACATACCAAGAAAATCATCATTGACAGTTATAGAAATTTGAGACAATAAAGTAACATAGCTTTCAAATACGCTATTTCGAAAGTTTAAGTACATTTATTTCTTAAACATAGATGATAAAAGCTCTTGTTAAATTGGATGCATTTAAAAGAAATCATGTAACAAAATGAAACAAGGCTCTAAAACATTAAGATAGGAAAAATTATTTTTATTCGTTGGCAGAATAGATTATAAGTGGTGCATATCTTATGAATTTTTTTCAGGAAAAATATTTAAAAAACTTACCTGTTACAAAACCTGATTCCGGGTACGCTAAAATATTACAGATAAGATTGATTAAATACGTGTATGTTTTTTAACGTCCCTCTCCAGAATTTTTACTCAGATGGAGACAACAACACTTGCCGGTGGAGATCTGCAAATTTTGTTCTATACTTGGCACTTAGGGCCATTAGGGCCATTGAGCAGGGAGGATCTTTATTGTGCAAGCACCTACTGCGCCACGGGACTTCAGTTTATAAGGTCTCATCCGAAAGACAGGTCTCCACGTCCTACAGCAGGAGTCGAACCCGCGATGTAAGAATTGACTCCTTACTTCGCAACTCTAGAGCAGACGCGCTAACCACTGTGCCACGCGAGTGACTTACATGTAAGAAAATTGAGAGTAAGTTTTAAAAATCAAAACAAGAAAAATTCTACTTATTTTAAAGAAAGAAAAGGATATATTTATATTTCTGTCTGTATGTAACAAGAAACTCTGTTTCACAATAACAAACATAAAAGTTCTAAAATTGTGCTTGCAAAGCCCGTTGGAATATAGAAAGAAAAGGGAACGCTATAACGACACAAATTTTATCAGTACGCCTGGAGTAGTTTGTTCGTACTTTGACGTTTCAAAACAAAGTCTTCATATGCTTCAAAACATTAACTTTAATGATAAAATATCTTTTCAAACAAACAAAATGATGATCTAAATTGTACAAAAGATGGCTTTGAAGTAAAAATCTATATAGATGAATGCATTCTCTATTTAAGACCAACATTTGACTACTGAAAATAAAATAAAAATACTTTTCAATGATTTTGAATAGTTTCCACTTTGTTATTAAATTGATAAAAAAAGAATAGTTGCATTAATTCTTGTTTAATGTTTAGGAAACTTAAGTTTGGAACAAAGGGGCCTTGGTTGAAAAAAAAACTTCTTGTACCAAATAATCAAATAATTGTTGCATTAACATCAACCTGATCTTTCAATGCATTGTCCCTTTTGCTAGATTCAATATTATAAATTACATGAAATATCGAATCTATTTTTGAATCAGCCCTTGATCGACAAACAAGATTAAGATTTTGTCTTATATCCTCCAATTGCTCACTTGATGTTTTTCTGTCATTGATGAGAGTCAAATAAATTTTGGAAGGATTACTTATTATTACGAAATTTAAAATATTTAATTCAAGAACATCGTCACAATAATTGTCTGAGAAAAAAACAATGATATGTTCATAG